ATTTAAAGTTTTCTATCAGCCACCTTTAAAGGGGTGAAAAGAAACTGGTGAAATCAATTTTAATAATATACTTTATTTAGCTCAATATGTATTTAAAAATTATTATTTCCACATGCAATTAATATAAAAAATGAGTATTGCGATGTTGTTGTTGTTAAGTACCATGGAGTCGGTTCCGACTCATAGCGACCCTGTACAGGGTTTCCAAGGCTGTGAATCTTTACAGGAGCAGAACGCCTCATCTTTCTCCTGCAGAACCACTGGTAGTTTCAAACTGCTGACTTTGCGGTTGGCAGCCTGACTCGTAACCACTATGCTACCAGAGCACCTGATGATTATTGTAATATTTTCTCTTATTTTTAGCATACTAAAATTTTGAACTTACAGCAGATGTCCTTTCAGAACAATTACATTTCAAATGTTCAAGGGCCCCATGTGACTGGCAACCCGTGTTAGAATTGTTTATAAGCTCCTAACAACATTAACGTTAATATTACACCTATTACTAGTATAATATAATCACCAATTGTTGTTAAGTGCCATCAAGTTGGTGCCGACTCATAGCAACCCTGTAAAGGGCTTCTAAGGAGCGGCTGGTGAGCTTGAACTGTTGATCTTGTGGTTCAAACCAACCTTGCATTAACCCACAGTCCCACACCAGGACTTTCAATTATATAGTGCTTACTCTCTGCCAAGCAAAATGAGAGGTGCTTTGTAGGCATGATCTCATTGAGTAAATGAGTAATTGAAAGTTAGAGAAGTAAAATGCCATGACCAAGGTCACTCAACTTGTAAAGATCCTCTGCCCCTCAACTTGTTACTATGCTCTTACGCATATTGCATACTATGCTTACCCACTAAGGTATCACTGAGTCCTGGTGTGACGCTGTAGGATAAGCACTGGACACAAGGTCAACTTGAACTGCAAGATTGGTGGTTCAAACCCACGAGCTGCTCCTCAGAAACCCTGTACAGGGTTGCTCTGAATTGTAACTGACTCAATGGCACTTAACAACAGCAATAATTGACTAAATGTGGAGTCCTGGTGTGGTGCTACAGAATAATATGCTGAATCACAAAGGCAGTTTGAACAGTAAGGTCAGAGGTTCAAACCCACCAGCTGCTCCTTGGAAACCCTATACAGCATTGTTATGAGTTAGTACCGACTGGATGGCACTTAACAACAATAACAATAGTTAACTAAATGGAATGATACAATGTTATACCATCATTTGAAGATATACATGAAATGTTTATCATTATAGAACTTTTGATTTTGGCTATAAAACAAATAAAAATAAATCTGTTGTTGTTGTTATGTGCCATTGAGTCGGTTCCGACCTATAGCGACCCTGTATAGGGTTTCCGAGGGTATAAATCTTTACGGGAGTAGAAAGCCTCATCTTTCTCCCGCAGTGCAGCTGGTAGTTTCAAACCGCTGACCTTAAGGTTCACAGCCCAATTCGTAACCACTACGCTACCAGAGCTCCTTAAAGAAGGATTAAAATCATACAAAGTCTACTCTCTCATAATAATGAAATTATGTTAGAAAAAAGAAAAATAACAGAAAACGATCTAGAAAATCCCCAAGTAACTGGAAACTAAAGACATATTTCTAAATAACCTAAGCATCAGAAAAGAAATTAAAAAGGGAAACTTAAAAAACATTTTAAATTAAAGGCTAATTAAAATGCAACATAGTAAAGTTTGTGGGACCTGTGTAAAGCAGCTGTTGTTAGGTGCCGTCGAGTCGATTCCGACCCACAGTTACCCTGTATATAGGGTTTCCAAGGTGCAGCTGTACCGATAGGGAAGTTCACAGCACCAAAATTAATATATAGAAAAGAAAAAAAGGTCTTAAATCTTAGGTAAAGAAGAAACTATCAAGATCACCGAATCTAACAATGGAGTTTGAAACTTCTTCTAGCGCGAAAAAGATGAGGCTTTCTGCTTCCAAGTTAAAGCTTTGGGAATCCTTTACAGGGTCACTATGAGTTGGAACCGAATTGACATCACTTAACAATAACAACAACAACACCCTCTCAAGTGATTGTGTACCTCTGTTTATACACTCACATGGGAGAACCCCTTCTTTCAGAAACAGCTTACTCTGTCTTGAATGCTCCGGACATAGCTTTTCTTTACAAACAGGGTAAGTGTTTGTTACCTTAGAACCAGCTGTTGAATACACAACTTTGTTTGTTTCATCCACATGAAGGTTCCAGAACTGAGGTTCAGTGGGATTTTTTGAGCCTCCATCCCAAATAATGAATTTCTCCTGGCCAGAAAGTAAGTTCCACAAGCGCAGTGTGTGATCCTTGGAGGCGGAGATGGCAAGTGTCCCCTTAGCAAACACTTTCACACACTTCACTTCCCCTGCAGCAGGATGGGGAGAGGAGAGTGTATTAGCTGGGTAGATTTTGACCTTTTATTACCAGTGATCTTGTCAATTTGAAGAGATCCTGGATGATGAATGGATCCAAACATATTCAAATATGAAATAATGGATTGTAGCAAAGCTAAACTAAGAGGGTTTTGGTTGGGATTTAATCAATGGTCCCAGATGTTGAATCTGTAATAAACCATGATAGGGAAATTTACAAAAGTTCCATATCCTGGGAGTGTTTAAAATTAATAACCATGTAAAAAACAGCATGTGTAAATTTCTGGGGGAAAAAAAGAGAGTGTGGTTTAGAATATTTTCATCATTACAAAACACATTCATGCAATCCTCCACCCAAACCCTGGACAACCATCACTCTATTTTCTCTCTTTGGAATTACTCGTTCTGCACATTTCACACCAAAGGAGTGCTCAGAATTGAATTGTGTCTCCCCAAACTCTGTGATGTAAATACGAACTTCTATACTTGTAGATGTAATTCCATTTGGGAATAGAATTTTCTTTAGTATGTGAATGAGGCCATATCACTGTAGGGTGTACCTTAAACCCAATCCTTTTTGAGATATTAAAAGGGCAGATTAGGCACAGAAAACAAAAGCAAGCACAAATAGAGAAAAGGGAGCTACCACCTGAAAATACACAAGGAACACTGAGAAGAATGATATAGAATCCAAGACAAGGATTTTCTCCAGAGCAGACAGAGAAGGTCCTCATCTAACACCTGTGCCCTGAATTTGGATTTCTAGTCTCCTAAACCAGTTACGAATCGGGCTGTGAACCATAAAGTCAGCAGTTCGAAACTACCAGCTGTTCCATGGGAGAAAGATGAGGCTTTCTGCTCCCGTAAAGATTTACAGCCTTGGAAACCCCGTACAGGGTCATTATGAGTTTGTTCCAACTCCACAGCACACAATCACCACCACCAAACTGTGAGGAAATAAGTAGCCATTTGTTAAAGACACCCACTTGTGGAATTTTTGTTACAGCAGCACTAACACACTAGGATATGGAATCGTACACTAGGTGGCAGTTACTTGTTGTTGTTGTAAGTGTCATAGAGTCAGTTCTGACTCATAGCGACCTTGTGCACAACAGAATAAAATACTGCCCCGTCCTGCACCAATCTCATCATTGTTCCTACACTTGAGCCCATTTCTGCTGTCAGGGTGTCAATTCATGTCCTTGGTAGACTTACTCCTTTTCTCTGACCCTCCGCTTTACCTAGAAAGATGTCCTTCTCCAGGGACTGGTTCCTCTTGATAATATATCCGAAGTATGAGAGATGAAGTCACGTCATCCTGGCTTCTAAGGAACATTCTAGCTGTACTTCTCCAACACAAATGTGTTTGTTATAGCAGTCCATGGTATTTTAATATTTGTCTTCAACAGCATAACTCAAATATATCAATTCTTCTAGTCTTCCTTATTCACTGTCTAACTTTCACATGCATATGAGGTTACTGAAAATACCATGAGTTGGGCTGGCACACCTTAGTCTTTAAACTGACATCACTACTCTTTAACGCTTTAAAGAGGTCTTGTGCAGCAGATTTGCTGAATGCACTATGCCATTTGATTTCTTGACGGCTGCTTCTGTGAGTTAGTGGATCCAAGATAAATGAAGTCTTTGACAACTTCAATCTTTTCTCCATTTATCTTGATATTATTTATTGGTTTGGTCCAGTGGTGAGGTTATTTTTTCTTTTCTTTATATTGAGGTACAATCCATACTGAAAGCTGTGGCTTTGATCTTCATCAATAAGTATTTTAAGTCCTCTTTGTTTTTAGCAAGCATAGTTTTATTAACAGCATACCACAGGCTGTTAATCAGTCTTCCCCCAATCCAGAAGTCAAATTCTTCTACATATAATCCAACTTCTCAGCATAGAGATTGAATAAGTATAGTAAAAGAATACAACCTTGGCAAATACCTTTCCTAATTTTAAACCATTCAGTATTCCTTTGTTCTACTTGACAGGTAAACATCTTTCTGGTATTCTCTGATTTCAGCCAAGATCCATATGACATCAGCAGTGATATCCCTCATTCCACATCCTCATCTGAATCCAACTTGAACCTCTGGCAGTTCACTGTCAATGTACTATTGTAGCCATTTTTAATTATCTTTAGCAATATTTTACTTGCATGAGATATTAATGATACTGTCCAATGACTTCTGCATTCCATTGGGCTACCTCTCTTTGGAATGAGCACAAATTGGATCTCTTCCAATGAGTTGACTAGGTTAGGTACCTGTCTTCCAAATTTCTTGACAGAGATGGGTGAGTTCCTCCAGTGCTGTATCAGGTGTGTTGAAAGATTTCAATTTGTATCCCATCAATTTCCAGAGCCTTGTTCTTTGCCAATGAGCACAATTGTATCATTGACTCTTAATCTTTCCTTCCATCTTCCTTTGATGTTTTCTGCATGGTTAAATATTTTGGATATAGAATCCTTCAATATTGTAAGTTGAGGCTTGAAGCCTTTCTTTAGTTCCCTCAGTCTGAGACATGCTGAGGATATTCTTCCCTTTTGGTTTTCTATATCCGTCTTTGCACATTTCATTATATTTTACTTAGTTGGCAGAATTCTTCAATTTAATCATCACTGGCTTTAGTGGTTGATGCACAAATCTGAATAATAGTGGTATTTACCGGTCTTTCTTGTAGGCGTATGGATACTATCCTATCGCAGGTAGCTTTATGCTTCAAGATAGATAGATGATGGAATGTTCTTTTTGATTATGAACATATGCCATTCCTCTTCAATTTGTCATTCCCAGCATAGTGAATCATATGACCTATCAGATTCAAACTGGCTAATACCAGTCCATTTCAGCTTACTAATGCCTAGGATGGAGTCCTGGTGTGGCGTTGCAGGATAATGCACTGGACTGCAAGGTCAGTTTGAACCACAAGGGTTTCCAAGGAGTGACAGGTGAGGTTTGACTGCTGACCTTGTGGAACCTACTCAATAGCACAAAACAACAGTGCCTAGTCTATCAACCTTTACGTGTTCCATTTCATTTTTGACAACTCTCAATTTTCCTAAATTCATACTTTGTGCAATTCATGTTCCAATTATTAAATGGATGTTTGCAGCTTGCCTCTTCATTTTGAGTTGTACCCCGTCAGCAAATAAAGATCTAGAAAGCTTTACTGCATTTGTGCCATCACGGTCCAGTCTACTTTGAGGAGACAACTCTTCCTTCCCCAGTTGTATTCTGAGAGCCTTCCAACCTGAGGGGCTCATCTTCTGGAACTATATCTGACAATATTCTTGTACATGTCATCATGTTTCAATATCCAGGTGCTGTGTGGCAGTATTCCACTGCTATTCATAGGGTTTTCAATGGCTAACGATTCAGAAGCAGTTAGCATCTTCTTCCTAGTCTGTTTTTAGTTTAGAAGCTCAGCTGAAACCTGTCCACTATTGGAGACTCCATTGGTATTTAAAATACTGTTGGCGTAGGGAGGCAGCTCTTCAAACAGAAAAAGGAAGACCATAGAAGAATTGATACATTTGAGCCATGGTGTTTGAGAATATTAAAGGTACTACGGGTTGCTGGTAGCGTAGTGGTTACGAATCGGGCTGCGAACCTCAGGGTCAGCAGTTCGAAACTACCAGCTGCTCCGCGGGAGAAAGATGAGGCGATCTGCTCCCGTCAAGATTTACAGCCTCGGAAACCCTATTCAGGGTCGCTATGGGTCAAAACCGACTCAATGGCATTTAACAACAACAACAACAACGGGTTGCTAGAAGAATAAACAAATCTGTGTTAGATGGCCAGACTTCATTTCTTTTACTTCAGATACAATATTATCAAAGAGGCACCAGTGTCTGGAAAAAGACGTCATATGGAGATATAGTGAAAAAAGAAAACCCCACAACATGTCTAGCACTTTAGTGGTTAGTGGATAAATATGAATAATAGTGGCCCACTTCTAAAAGCAGAAAAACTGACTGAAACAAACACTATAAGATAAACTTCATTCATATGATACAAAAATATCACATAGAGTACTATTGTATTGTTTCACAACCAGTTAAGAAATGTGCACCCTTCCTGGAGTCGTTACAATACCAGGCTGATGCGTGGAGTAGATTGAGCAAGCTCCCAATCTAAACCCCCAAGTTCAAAAAACAATTTAATACATTGTCCTCAGATAAAGAACATATCAGATATTAAACTGATAAAAGCAGATACTACACTTGATCTTAGCCAAAAGGCCAAGAAGCGTTACTAAGGAAACGGTACTTCCTGTTGCCCTCGTACTTGTATGCATATTTAGCTCACAGTGAGAACTCCAGGTATTACTTCCTTTGCCTTTTTGACAATGCTTTGTATATAATTAGATTCTTGTGCAGATTTTGTATTCTTCTCATTTTAAAAGAGAATTTTTATATTGGTTTTTATTCTTTGTCTGGCTACGGGCTCTTATTTGTATGCCTCGCCCATTTGCTGCCCGGGAGGCATGATTAGCTCAGGAAGCTGAACCGCAGATGTGCCCTCGTGTGGCAGTACCCTCTCTGTCACCGAATGCTTAGCTGCAAGGGAGCTCCACCTTACCAAACATGATATCCTTCCCCAGCGACTGGTCCCTCCTGACACTATGTGGAGAGTAGGGTCTTTGATTTACCCAATGGGAAATGGGAGTAGTTTCAGGGCATTGTAGGGGACAGAGCTGGGAAGGGTGGGGCTCAGAAGTATGATACTCAGCTCTGCATGGGGTTGAGGGGCTGGGCTGCTCCACCATGGGGGGTGTGGTTCACCAGCCAACCCCGCCCACCATGAGGTGTTGTTGTTGTTATGTGCCGTCGAGTCGGTTCCGACCCATAGCGACCCTGTACAGGGTTTCCGAGGGTGTAAATCTTTACGGGAGTAGAAAGCCTCATCTTTCTCCCGCGGAGCAGCTGGTAGTTTCGAACCGCTGACCTTAAGGTTCACAGCCCGATTCGTCACCACTACGCTACCAGAGACATCATGAGTTTCTACACTGGGTGAAACCAGCCCTAGGGATGCCACTGAGATACTGTGCTCTACCAGTAGGCCTCCTTCCCCCAAGCACTCAGCTCTCTCACCCATGGACTAGCTCCCAAGCCATCCTACACGCCTCTCCTGGTTCTGCTGCCTCTGTTCACTGCTGCTTCTCACCATCTGCGCTGGTGTTACAATTCCAGTGTCACTTCCTTTAGAGCCCTCATCAGAATTGCCTTTCATGTCCATAATTCCACCAACAGTCTCTTAAAGGAACTCTAGGCTTTTACTATTAAGCACCTTAGAACTCTTCAGCCTCTCTACCCATTACCCGATTCTAAAATGACTTTCAGATTTTAGGTATCTGTTGTTGTTAAGTACCACTGAATTGATTCCGACAGCCCACATTGTTGTTATTAAGTGCTGTCGTGTCAGTTCCGACCCATAGCGACCCTGTATAGGGTTTCCAAGGAGTGGCTAGTGAGTTTGAACCACCGACCTTGCCATTCAAACTGGCTTTGCAGTCCAGCACATTAACCCACAGAGCCACACCAAGACTCCGTAAGTGCCGGTAGTCACTCAACAACTGATTAAATGAATGAACTTAATGAGTGATGTTGTTGGTAAGTACCATGGAGTCAGTTCTGACTCATGGTGACCCTGCACTGGGTTTCTGAGGCTGCAAATCTTTACAAGAGCAGAAAGCCTCATCTTTCTCCCACAGAACAGCTGGTAGTTTCAAAATGCCAACCTTGAGGTTAGCAGCCCGATTTGTAACCACTACGCTACCAGAGCTCCTTAATTGAGTGATAGGAGTACAGAAATGAAAACCTTACTTAGGGTCTGAGGGGCTGTGCTTGACTAATGGCAAAAATACCCAAACTTCTTTATCCTCTCTGAACCCACCCCCTTTGCAGTGTAATGCTGAAGCTCCTCCTATCAAGATGTGGGGCCTGTTTTACGCCCCCTATCCATGTGTCCTCTTTTGGCTAATAAAATACAATAGCCTAGGCCTTAAGAGGGAGTCCTGGTGTGGATCTGTGGGTTAATGTGCTGGACTGCACAGTCGGTTTGAACTGCAAGGTCAGTGGTTCAAACTCACCAGCCACTTCTCAGAAACGCTATACAGGGTCACTGTGGGTTGGAACTGACTCGACAGCATGCAACAACAACAAAGCCTTAATAGACTATGACGAAAGCTTTGTGGATGAGAATCTGCAGAGTGGATTTCAATCTAGAAGGCAGATATTGATTGAATGCTTGCGTTTTCACTTTCTTCATCGTTTCTAATACCAGTCTCGCCCATGTCACTCTGTCCCTGGCCACCCAGCACTAGGTCAGTCCTTACACATTCACAGGACACGTCTTTGAGTTCATTAATGCATCTGAATGACTCACAAAACCCACAGAAGACAGGATATTTACAACTGCTGGTTTGTTTGTTTTTTATAGTTGTTGCTAGATGCTGCTGAGTCACTTCAGACTAGTGGAGACCCCATGTATAGTAGTGCATAGTAGAATTGCTCCACAGGGTTTTCAAGGCTGTGACCTTTTGGAAGAAGACCACCAAATTTACTTCTGAAATGCCTTTTGGCTTGTAATGGAGTGCTTTGTCACTGGCACCACTCAGGGCTGTTGTTGTTGTTAAGTGCCGTCGAGTTGATTCTGACCCATAGCGACCCTGTATAGGGTTTCTGAGGAGCAGCTGGTGAACTGCCTTGCAGTTCAAACGGCTTTGTAGTCTGGCACATTAGCCCACAACGCCACATAAAAGGACATAAATCAGGTTCATCATAAGAAGATGCATGGTCAGGGCTGGGAAGGTCCCCAATGTGGAGCTTCTGTGTCCCCGAGAGGACACATCACACTCCCTTCACCAACCTGGAAGGTCTCTGAGTTTCCGTGCCCTGTATGAGAAGTTAAATCATACCTCCTGAGACTGGTTGATATTGATCTCCTAAGCGAATCTTTTCTGATCCGTCCAGCCCCTACTTATCAGTACAAATCCACAAGTGTGACCTGGAAGTTACAAACCACGGCACCCCAGTTACTCCAAGGGTTATTGCTCTGAAGACAACAACAACGGTTACCCACTTAGGGTAAAATCGGTCCTTTACTACACAAAAGCCTTGTGCATTTCTGTCCTCTGTTTGGAAACAGAAACCATTTCTGTTCTCTAGTCTGTTCTCACCTTTGCATGGGCTAGCCTGCTGCTGAGGGATAAGAGGTCATGGACGGCAGGGTGGAGTTGTCTCAGTCAAAGGCATCTTTAATCAGTCAGATCCCAAGTGTCCTACTGACTACAAATCCCCAGAAAGCCCAGCTAAGATCAGACACGTAACCCAGCTGAAATGAGTCTGAACTGCCAACCCGCAGACAATGAACCGGCATTCTGTTATGCAGCTATAGCTAACTAGTGTAAGAACAAAGACCAAGGTCTCACTACAGGGAAACGGGTCCGTGGAGAAGAGGTCTAGAGAACACTAGAAAGCAGCGGGTCATAATAAGCTCTCTTTCCAAAGCCTTACCTGTGTGACCAGTTAGGACGTGGATCACTTGGTGCTCTTTCATGTCCCACACAGCCACAATGCCATCCTGGGTGCCAACCACCAGCAGCAGCTCCTCCAGACTCCATGCCATGGCAGTGATGCCTGCAACCATACAGACAACAGTGAAGACAGGAATTCTCGGGTCTGAGTTCTCAGCCGCAGGGTCCTCTAATGAGCACCCACTTCATGGATAAGGAAACTGAGGTGCAGACAGTCACAGAGCTATGAAGTGGCAGAGCCAGGATTTTGAAGCCAGACATCAGAGACAGATGCTTAGTTATGATGTTTTTGTCACTTTTAGGTAGTATTACAGATTGACTTGTGTCTCCCAAAAAGCTGTTAAGCACTTGTTGTTAAGTGCCGTCGAGTCAATTCCAACCCATAGCGACTCTGTATAGGGTTTCCAAGGAGCAGCTGGTGAGTTTGAACCATTGACTTTGCAGTTCAAACAACATTGCAGTCTGACGCATTAGCCCACAGCGCCACACCAGGACTCCTGTTAAGTACTAACCCCTATGAACATCACCCTGTTTGAAAATAGGGATTTTTCTCTTGCTATGCTAATCAGATCATGCCAGAGTAGGGTGAGCCATAAACTCATCTTTGAGTTGTTGTTTGGTGCCATCGAGTCAGTACCAACTCATAGCAACCGTATGAAGAACAGGACAAAACACTGCCCGGTCCTGGGCCAACTTCACAGTCGTTTCCACGCTTGAGCCCATCGATCATGCCACTTTGCCTTTTCCTCTTTTTCTCTGACCCTTCACCTTACCAAATAAAAAAAAAACCAGAATAGACACAGAAACACACAGGGGAAAGATAGATGCCAAGGACCCCCAAAATGCCATAAACAGAGGGAGGGACAAGGAGAGGAATGGGTATGTGGTAGATGGATGGTTAGGTGGACAGATGGAAGAAGGTATGACGGATGATAGAAGGGTGATGCAAAGATGGGTGGAAGGATGGATGGAGGGAGAGAAGTATGGAAGGAAGGGTGGGTGGCTGGATCAATAGATGAGTGAATAGATGAAGAATAAACAATGGGTGTATGAATGGAGGATGGATGGATGGTGGGTGGTTAGGTAGACAGAAGGGTGGAAGATGCATGGATGGGTAAGAAGATGGATGTATAGGTGAATGAATGGGTGGATAGGTGGATTGTTATTGTTGTCAGGTGCCATCAAGTCGGAACCGACTCATAGCGACCCCATGCACAGCAGAACGAAACAATGTCCGATCCTGGGCCAACCTCACTACCGCTGCCACACTTGATGATGTGGACAGATTAATGGAAAAGGGAGTAGATGGTTGAGTGGGTAGACAGATGGAAGAAAAGATGGATGGATGAGTGGGTAGGTAGATGATGGATGGATGGGTGAGTGGATGGTATATGGGTGGAGGATGTATGGATGGGTGAATGGATGAATATGTGGGTGAATGGATGGTTTGGTGGGTGAGTGAGTGGATAGATGGATAGAAAGCAATGTAGATTGATAGATGGATGGGTGTATAGACAATGCAAGGATGGATGGAAGACAAATGGATAGAAAGAACTAAACCCTCCTCTCCCCCTGACATTCTGATATTCTGGGAGAGTCTACAATCCCATCAACCTCTCAGGAGAGGGTCAGGAATCAACTCCTGGCTTCCAGAGCGTACTAGCATACATCTGTCAATTACAGCAACTATCTGTAAGATGGATGCGTGCTGTTTCTGAGATACAGTCAGCACCCCTGTGGCTTGGGCTCATTAACAGTATTTACACAGTAATCTACAGTCCCAGGGGAATCAGGGAGAGCCAAGTCAACATGAGACAGCAAGGGCTTGCCCTGATGACACCCTTGGGGCTGCTGACTGGCAGAGGGGACCCCAGAGAGTAGTCCAAAACACCTGCCCTCAGCTACCCTGGGCAAGCAGGGGCCTGAAGAGGTGTTTGTGATGCTGGGGAAACTCACCTTTGTGGCAACCGGTGAGGGTTGCTCTGAGGGGCCCCCCGGGGGGCTGGAGGAACCCTGCAAGGGGTACCAGCACTGGGTGAGGACACACCCGAAACCAGCTCTGTGCCTGTTGGCACAGCTGCCCCACCAGTGCTGGGTGCGAAGTGATGAAGAAATGGAGTCTGGCCAGGAGTTCTGTGTAGAGGACGCTTCTCTCTGGAATAAAAGGGGGCAGATTAAGTGGTAGGGGGGCACTATTGATCAGGTTAAGCCACCATGCAGGGGCTGCAGAAGAGACAAGAAGGTGAAGAATCTCAAGTATTATTTAGTCTAATGACTTGGCAAAGTAGCCAAGATTCTACATGAGGTGGCCTGTGCTCCCCTCTGCACCCCCATCATCTCATTCCCTTCCTCCCACCTGACACCTCCACCATGTTGGCTTGAATGTGCTGTGTACTCCCTTCTCATGCCTTTGTGTGTTTGGTTTGCTTCTCCCTTCACCTCCACGGCTACCTAACTCCAATCTGTCCTTCCACTGCTAGCTCAGTGTCACCTGCTCTTAGGAACTTTCCTGGACTATCTCCTTACCCAATGTGAGAATGGTATCTGCCAGTGTCTTCCCAACAAATGCTGTCCATGCCTCTACCACAGTTATTACACTGGATCAAAGCCATTGTCTTTTGGCGTTTACATTTACTGTTTCTTTTATTGTAGTATAAACCCTGCCATGTCCTAAGTGTTCAGTGAATGTTTGATGAACTCATTTTCTAATTAACATTTGTTGCTAAGCTTGTTTCTAACCTAGATTAGTTTACTCACTTATGTGCCCAGGTGGGTGAAGACAAATTAATATTAAATTGTTTGCTTGATTAAGAATAGTTTCCTGGTAGTGGTTGGCAAACCTGAAAATTGGTGGGAAAGTTGTTGTTATATGCTGTGGAGTTGGTTTAGACTCATAGCGACCCTGTACAGGAGGGTTTCCGAGGCTGTAAATCTTTACGGGAGCAGAAAGCCTCCTCTTTCTCCCATCGAACAGCTGGTAGTTTCGAACTGCTAACCCTGAGGATAGCAGCCCGATTCGTAACCACTATGCTACCAGAGCTTCTTGATGGGAAAGTAGCAATAGTTTAAAAAAAAAAAAATTAAAAAAAAGAGAACCAAAGAACTTCAGGTACTCAAGTATAGCCCCCTGTTCTCTCCAGTGTCACTCACTGGCCTCCCAATGAGAAGGGGGTTCCAGAGCGATGCAACACCCTTATTAAGGTCGAAACCCTAATCCACATATGGGAAGTTTAACTAAGCTGTGACCTGCACCATCTTTTATTTTACAAGAGACAAAAGGAGAGACAATCCAGCAGAGAAGGAGGGACTTGGCTACCACCCAGAAAAAGGGTCAGGACTAGAGTGCATCCTTTGGGTCTAGGGTCCCTGTGCTGAGAATCTCCTAGACTCAGGGGAAGATAGACACATGAAGATCTTGAAAGGCCCTCAGCTGCTGAAAGGGAACAAGGACCTTTTTCCACAATGGTTATAGACAAAGCCTTCCCCTATAGCTTGTGCCTTAGTTTTGGACATTTGCCTCTTAATCTGTGAGAGAATAAATTTCTGTTTGCTAAAACCATCCACCTGTGGATTTCTGTTACAGCAAAACTAGATGACTAAACCAGATGGATTCCCCAGCACTTGTCAGTTACAGAGGGTATCAGTTTCCTGTGGCTACTGTAACAAAACCACCACTCATCTGTCATTTTCTCCTAGCATGGTGGCTTGTGTGTAGCTGTGATGATGGAAGCTATACCACCCACCAGTATTTTAAATACCAGCAGGGTCACCCACAGTGGACAGTTTCAGCTGAGCTTCCAGATGAAGACAGACTAGCAAGAAGTAGAGATGGACTACTTCGAATATTTAGTCACTGAAAACCTTAGGACTAGCAGTGGAACACTGTCAGATAGCACCAGAATATTGAATATTGAAACATGATGAACAGCACCAGGATATTGTCAGATATAGTACCGGAAGATGAGCCACTCAGGTTGTTGTTTTTGTTAAGTGCTGTTGAGTTGATTCTGACCCCTAGTGACCCTGTACAGGGTTTCTGAGGCTGTAAATCTTTATGGGAGCAGAAAGCCTCATCTTTCTCTCAAAGCTGGTTGTTTTGAACTGCTGATCTTAAGGTTGGCAGCACAATTGGTAACTACTATGCTACCAGAGCTCCTCAAAGTTGACCATGATGATGTGAATGGAGTAAAACTTTCAGGACCTTCATTTACTGGTGGGACAAAACTCAAAATCAGGAGAAACAGCTGTAAACATCCATTAATAATCCATAATAATGCATGTAAACATCCATAATAATGCATGAAGTATGAATCTAGCAAAATTGAAAGTTGTCAAAAATGAAATGGAATGAATGAACATCAATATTCTAGGCATTAATGAGTTAAAATGGACTGGTTTGGCCATTTTGAATTTGACAATCACATGGTTTACTATAACAGAATGACAAATTTCTTTCATCATCAAAAAGAGCATTTCAAGATCTATCTTGAAGCACAATGTTGTCTGTGATAGGATAATATTCATATGTCTACAAGGAGATCTGGTAGTGTAGTGGTTACGAATTGGGCTGCGAGCCGCAAGGTCAGCAGTTCGAAACTACCAGCTGTTCCGCGGGAGAAAGGTGAGGCTTTCTGCTCCCATAAAGATTTACAGCCTTGGAAACCCTATGCAGGGTTGCTATGAGTCTGAACCGACTCCACGGCACTTAACAACAACAACAAGGAAGACCAGTTAATACAACTATTATTCAAATCTATGCACCAACCACTAATGTCACTGATGATGAAATTGAAGAATTCTACCAACATCTTCAGCCTGAAATTGATCAAACATGCAATCAAGATGTATTGATAATTACTAGCGATTAGAAGGCAAAGGTTGGAAACAAAAAGAAAGGATCAGTCATTGGAAAATATAGCCTTGGTGATAGAAATGATGCTGGAGATTACATGATATAATTTTGAAAGACGAATTACTTTTTTTTTTTTTCCTTATTATTGTGAATTCAACAAATCATATACCTTGCTTCATTACCTGGTTGCAATCTACTTCCTGTACCAACAGTTAACAGCGTCTACCTCTATTCACTTTAGCTATTGTATTGCTCCCTGTGTCTCCTGCTACCACTGCCACACTTGATGATGTGGACAGATTAATGGAAAAGGGAGTAGATGGTTGAGTGGGCGACAGGGTTGTATTCTTTTACCATACTTATTTAATCTGAGAAACTGGATTGTATGAAGAAGAATGTGGCATCAGGACTGGAGGAAGGCTCATTAACAACCTGTAATATGCAGATGACACAACCTTGCTTGCTAAAAACGAAGAGAACTTAAGACCACAGCCTTTGGTATGGTTTGCACCTCAATGTAAAAAATAAAAAAATAAAAAAAATCCTCACCACTGGACCAATAAATAACATCAAGATAAATGGAGAAAAGATTGAAGTTGTCAAAGACGTTATTTTGCTCGATCAACCATCAACACTCATGGAAGTAGCAGTCAAGAAATCAAATGACGTATTGCACTAGGCAAATCTGCTGTACAAGACCTTTTCAAAATGTTAGAGAGCAAAGAAGTCAGTTTGAGGACTAAGATGCTCCTGATCCAATAGTCTGTTTGATAGCTTTATATTTATGTGACAGTTGTACAATGAATAAGGAAGACCGTAGAAGAATTGATGCATTTGAGCTACGGTGCTGGAGAACAATTTTAAAATCACCATCAACTGCCAGAAGAACAAACAGATTTATGTTGGAAAAAGTATAGCCAGAATGCTGTTTAAAAGCCATAGAAGCCAGGATGGCCAGACTTCATCTCTCATACTTCAGACATTTTATCAGGAATGACCAGTCCCTAGAGAAGGACATCATGCTTGATAAAGAGGAAGAACCCAATGTAACTGATTAGCACAGTGGCAGCAGCATTGGGCTCAAGAATAGCAACAATAATGAGATTGCTGCAGGACCCCACAGTGTTTTATTCTGTTATGCGTAAGGTTGTGTGAGTCAGTACCAACTCTGAGGCACAAACAACCTTGGTGTCTGGAAACAAGAAAACATTATTCTCTCACAGTTCTGGAGGCTAGAAAACTGACATCAAGGTGTGTGTAGGATTGCACTCCCTTCAAAGACTCTAGTGGAGAATGTTTTTCTTTTCCTTCCAGCTTCTAGTGGCTCCAAGTGTTCCCGGGCTTGTCCTGCATCCCTCCAGTCTCTGCCTCCTTTGTTACATGGTCTTCTACTCTGTGTGTCTCTGTTATTCTCTTCTAACGGTCACAAGTCTCCCTCTGCCTTTTTTATAAGGATACATGTGGTTGCATAAGGGGCCACATGATAATCTAGGATAATTTTCTCTTCTAAAGATTCTAAACTGTGAATCACACATTTTGTCATAGAAGGTAACAATTTTCAAGCCTGGGGATCATGGTCAGCTGCCTTCAAGGATAAAATGTTTGTTGCCCTCTCTGGTGTCACCCTCATAATTGGTTGTTATTGTTGTTGTTAGGTGCCATCGAGTCAGAACCAACTCATAGCGACCCATGCACAGCAGAACGAAACAATGTCCGATCCTGGGCCAACCTCACTACTGTTGCCACACTTGACGCCATCAATGATGCCACCTGGCCAATCCATCTCGTTTGGGGTCTTCCTCTTTTTCTCTGACCCTCCATCTTACCAAGCATGATATCCTTCTCTAGTGACTGTTCCCTCCTGACAATACGTCCAAAGTATGAGAGACGAAGTTTGGCCATCTTGGTCTCTAAGGAGCACTCTGGCTGCACTTCTTCCAAAACAGATCTATTGGTTCTTTTGGCAGCCTATGGCACTTTTAG